ACAGTATATATTCCATTTTAATTTTTCATCAAACCATATCCCTAAAAATTTTTATTCATTTTACTTACTCTAAGTCTTGATTATATCATTTTAATTTTATTTCCTTGTTACTTTTTTCTGAGTAAATATCATTACTTTTGTTTTGTCAACTGAAAACTTAAATCCCCATTGCAGCGACCATTTCTCTATTTCAATAATAACCTCTTGTAATTTCTTTACGATAAAATCAACATTTTCCCTCTTTTCCAAACAACTCCATCATCTGCAAAAAGTGAACAACCCATTACTTTTACAATATCTTTAAATATACCATTTATCATAATTGAGAACAGTAATGGACTTATAATACTCCCCTGTGGAGTTCCATTTTCTACTATACATTTTTCTGAGATTACGTCACCGATTCTAACTTGTATTTTTCTATTTGTTAAAAAAATCTTAAATCCATTTAAATATTTTCCCTTTAATACCCAACTTGTTTAATTTAATTAATAATCCCTCAACCCACATCATGTCATATGCTTTTTCTATGTCAAAAAATACTGCCACTAAACTTTCTTTATTTACTTGTGCTCTTCTAATTTCATGSTCTAAACATAATGTTGGATCTTTAGTACTCCTCAGGCTTACACTTTTGCGTAGCAATTTCTTTTATGTGGCCATGTTCGTCTGAGTTCTGTTGTAGAAATGCAACAGCGCCCCCTTCTGGTCACAATATATGGGGGTCACAGAATGTAGCATTAGCTCAGCTCACATTCCGTCCGGAACACATTAGTAGATACACAAGATGGCGGCGTACTTGTTGGGGTTAGGGCGATTGGGCTCTTTCAAGGTAAAACAGATTGAATCGCAACTCATAACGTTTAAAAGTAGGTTTTATGAACATTACATGGTAAAATGTAGTTTGTTGAAGACGTAACTTTAAACCTCCCAGAAAGCAGGTCAGTAAATCGTGACAAATAAAACCCCGGGCCTTTTCTCTGTTTAGGCTCAGTGCAAAGTGATAGTTATTTACAACCCACTAGCAAAGTAAAACTCATTTTTCTTACCTGTCAAGTAATAAAATTATTAATTTAGTGGTTGGAACTAGTTTAGGGCTGCACGGTATATGCGATAGATGGTAGGAACGATATGAAGTTGGCCTACGGTAGAAACTTACGCTGTACCATCCTATCGTCAATTACGTCATTGCACCTGTGTCGACAGGGCTGCGAGCAGTGTTGTGTACCTCATAGTGATACTTGAGTAAAAGTACAAGTATCTGATCATAAAAATAATTTGGTAAAAGTTAAAGTCTTCTCTAAAAATATTACTTGAGTAAAAGTCTTAAAGTATCTGATATTTTTTGTACTTAAGTATCAAAAGTAAATTTCTGACACAAAATCTACACTGTAAAAAATGAAATGTTGGATTTACTTAACCATGTTTTGTTACCTGGTTCCACTTAACTGAATTGATTAAATTCAAAGCAACATACTCATGTTCTTTGGCTAAAAATTGGTATATTTGCTTGAATTTAATCA